ACAATTTCAACACCTTTCACTAATATAAACAGAAAAAAATGATATAAAGATTTGAATAACACTATTAATAACCTTGAATTTTTGAACATATGTAAAAGCCCGAACCCAACAATTTGGGAATAAACATTCTTCCTGAACACACATTAAATAATTGCCAACACTGAACCTGTACTAGGCCAGTGCTTCTTACACCATCTTTGGTGAAATACCAGTTTTTTCTCAGTTTTTTGCTAACTTCTAATTTTTTAATAATTCCAAGCCTAAAATTACGAGAATAACACCCTTCGAATAGATTCACAAATTGTCAACATTTTACTGTTTTCATTGCGTCATTTCTTTCCTCCCTTCCTTCCTTCCTTCCTTCCTTCCTTCCTTCCTTCCTTCCTTCCTTCCTTCCTTCCTTCCTTCCTTCCTTCCTCTTTCTTTCTAACTACCTACCCAGATATTTACCTCTATTTTTTTCTGAAGCAGTGGAAAGTAAGTTGCAGACACCTGACTCTTCATCCCTAAAGACTTTTGTGTGTATTCTCTACGAACAAAAGCACTCTCTTACATAACAACAGTGCAATTGCTAAAATCAGAAAATTCAACATTGATCTGATACCCCTACCTATTCCACAATCCATATTTAAATTTCTCCTTTTGTCCCTATAGTGTTCTTCAGCTCCATTTCCCACAGGATCCAATCTAGGACCATGCATTGTGTTTAGCTGGTGTGTTTCTTTAGTCTCCTTTAATCTGGAACAGTTTCACTGACTTTCAAAACCTTGACCTTGAAGAAACAGAAAATGCCACCCGAAATACACCACTCTGGCATAAGAATTATTTTGTGCTAAAGGCAATTGAGAAAAAGCAAACACAGGATGAGCTCTCTGCCTTCCTCTGTTTGTCTGAACGCAGGGCATAAATTCCCCTTGTGAAGGTGTCTCCTCATCCTCCCACCCTTTCCACACCAGCAGGGGGGCACAACCTTATCACCAGAGAGAGAGATGGCACCAAGAAAAATCTGCACTGAATAACCTGCTAGGTAACCTTTATTTACTAGTAGGGTCCCCATAGATTTATCTTTCTACATTCTATGGCCCCTGAAAGGTCCAGGCATCTTCTTCCTTTGTCTTGCCACTTCTTTACAATGTACCGTCCTTTGTCAGGATGGTATAAAAGCCTCCAAGTCTAACTGCTTCTTTGGGGTTTTTCTCTTCTAGTTAGGAAGCCACCTCCTCCACGATATGTAATACTTTAAACATCAAATCTAATCTGTGTGCCTCTCTCCTGTTAATCTGATTTTCCATCAGTTTACTTTGCAGGCCCATCCATAAAACATAAGGGAATAGAGAAAAAATTTTCCTCCCTTTTACCTCTTAAAGCATACAGGCCAGTTATATTGCAGACTGTCTCTCCAACTGAAATTATCTGATGTTTCCTTATGGTCTCATTTAGGTTATGCTGCCTTTTTTCTTTTTTTTTCTTTTTTTGGCAGGAAAACCTGAATGATATATCCTTCTCAGTGCATTATATCATGAGGTATAGAATATCAGTTAGTCTCATTATTGATAATATAATCTCTAATTACTTGGTTAAGGTGGCATCTGCCAGGTTTCTCTACTACAGAGTTACTATTTTTTTCCTTTGTAGTTAATTAGCAATTTGTGGAGAGGTACTTTGAGACTATGTAAGTATCTTATTCCTCATCAAACTTCCCCTTTAGTTTAGCATTGATGATGCTTATTTGAATCAGGTACTATTATAATAGTACAAATAGTGATTTTTGAACTCCATCATTTCTTCTCCAGTTATTAGCATTCTAGTGAAAAGAGGAGCTTCCTTTCTATCTACCACCTGGCTATCTTTAATATAGACTTATATATTCTATTTTTTCCAGTGGGTTATGATCCACTATTCTAATCATTGATGTTGATGCTTAAATTGTACCAGCTCTGGTTAGTGGGAGTCTCTTCAAGCTGCTTCCTGTGTCCTTTTGACATATTTCCATCCTTTTTTTTATCACTTTGTAAAAAAATTTTCCCACCCAATAAGATGTCCTTGACCTATCTTGTACTTTTTTCTGCCCTAGCCTTAGAATTGACCATTTCTTCAAAAAGTTCTAGTTCTTTTTCAGTAGAGAATGATATTAAGAAAATTAAGATGGGGGCAGACAAGCATGTATGTAAGACACAATAATAAAGTTCTTTATTACAAAATGCAACTAGCAGAATCAAATGCAAATCTCCCTGAGAGAACCCATGCCATTCAAGGTCTCAAAAAAAATCCCACAGATGAAATTTTAAAGAAAACTAGCATATCACTCTCAAAAACAACTAAATATGCATGAAAAAAGACATCATATGCAAGAACTAAAAGAAACAATAAACAACAGAAATAGATTTACAACAATCTTTGCTCCAGTAATGTAAGATCTTAGAGACAAAATTATAAAACTTTACTAAAAGACATTAAAGAACTAAACAGATGAAGAGCTATAGCATGTTTTTTGTAAAAAAGATTTTATTTATTTATTTTTAGAGTGAGGGGAAGGGAGGGAGAAAGAGAGAGAGAGAAGCATCTGCTGGTTGCTTCTGCCTCCTCTTCAGGCCCTGAGCAGGGATCAAACCTGCAACCTGGAAATCTCACCATCAACCTTTCACTTTTTGGGATGATGCCCAACCAACTAAGCCACATTGGTCAGGGCAAGAGCTATACTATGTTTAAAAACTGGAAGACAATATTACAAAAATGTTAATTATTTTTATAGTATTCTATGACTGGAATGAAATTCCAGTGAAAATCTCATTTTTCATGAAACTTGATTTTTTATGAAACTTGAAACACTGAATCTAAAATTTACATGAAAAATCAGAGGGGAAAAGTAGCCAATACACTCTGGAAGAAGAATAAGTGGGGAAACTTGTCTTACCAAACCTAAAGTATTATTATAAAGCTATAGGAATTAATACAGTGGGACATTGGCACAGGAACAGATAAATTGACCCCCGTGGGAAAGAATGAAGAGCACAGAACCAGACCAATGCATTTACGGAAACTTGATATGTGAGAGATCTGGCAGAGCAGATAGCTAAAGAAACGGATCAGACAATTTATTAGCATATACGAAAGTTAATTCACAATGTTTTAAAAGTTAAAGTGAGAGGAAAAATTGTTACAACTATTAAAAGAATGCATGGGATAGTATCATTCTGACCTCAGGAAGGGAAGCATTTTATAAACAAAAAGCAAAAGGGCTAATCATAGAAGAAAAGATTGGTATGATCAGCAACATTAAAATTAAGAACTTATGTTAATAAAGTGTAAACATGTGAAAACATAAGCCATGAACTGGGGGAGGCTTACTCGCAATACACACAACTAATACAAGATCCCAGAATATAAGAACTCCTATAAATCAGTAAAGAAAGAAAGGGAAGAGAAGAAGGAGAGAAAGGAAGAGATAGACAGTCAGGGACAGACAGAGGGACCAAAAGAAAATAAATAAAGACAAATGGGTATTCCACAGAAGAGAAAACACAAATGGCAAATAATCCCCAGATGATATGCCACCTCATTAGTAGTAATTAGAAAATTTAGATCATAACATCATACTATTCTACCCACTTGATTTAGCAAAAATTAAAAAATCTGCTATTATAAAGTTGGTGCAGATGTGGATAAGGATAATGTCTCTAACACAATACTCTGTTGGTGTATAAATCATTACAACCACTTTTGGGAAACAAGCCGGCACTACTTTGTGAAGTTAAACATCACATCCTGTGACACAGCAAACATATTCCTAAGTACCCTTGAGAAATCCTTAAATGTAAATACCAAGTATATTCACAACAGCAAAAACAAGCAGGACAACAAACACACTAAATGAAATATTCATCAACAGGAAATAAAGTGTAACCACACAGATCAACATGAATGAACCTTAGAAATGTATCGAGTAAAAAAAAAAAGTCACAGAAAATTAAAACCAATATAACACCACTTTTATAAAAACTCAAAAGCAGGTGAAACAAATAATCTTCTTTATAATTCATTTAAAATGCAAAAATATTATTTTTAAAGGGGCAAGGAAATGATGCAAGAGAAAAATTCAGAGTAGAGGCCCCTCTCGTGGGCGGCAGATTGATGGGAAAGGGACCCAAGCAGGTGTGACAGTGTTACGTTCTAGTTGTTCCAGTGGAAAGACAGTTTATGGAGCTCACTTCATTATGCTTCAATCTACATCAGTTTCTCAGTCTTCACAATGTTGACATTTTGGACTGGATAAGTCCATGCTGCGGGGGACTATACTGGGTACTATAGGATGTTTAGCAGCATTCCTGACCTCTACCCACTAGGTACCAGTAGTACCACCCACCCAGCCGTGACAGTAAAAAATGTCTCCAGAGAGATTGCCAAACATTTCTGAGAAGCAAAATTAACCCTGTTGAGAAACACGTATATAAATACATGTTATATATATATTTGAATGTTTTAAATAATGTTCCATAATAAAACAAAGTTTCAAAGTGGTAAGTAGAAGTTTCACCCTGTCTGTGAAGCACCTAGAAAGTGACCATTAAGAGCTGAGAAAGCAGAGCCCATCAAAGGCCTTTGCAGTGACAGTGAGCACTGACAGTGCCAGGAGGGTTTTGACTGGCAGAGATACTTGCAGCAATGGCACCAGGTATTAGAAAATCAATGGGTCCAGACACACTGGAGGACAACTTTTGTACCTGTTCTCAATTCTAGAATAGGTGGCATGGTAGAAAGAGTACAGGATTCAGAAGACACCTTAGGCAAGACCTTTCTGAGTCTTCGTTTCTTCAACTGTAAAAACTTGTGGAATGATTTGAAAAAAATCACATGAGCTACGTATTTGAAAGCACTTTATGTTTCTGAAGACAAATGTGATTGTCATTAGAGTTATTATAAAAAATGTAATACAAATGATAAAGTAACCCTCAAGGGTAGGATGACTCACATTTCTTCATCTTTTTGGCACTAGCTCTTACCATATGTCCAGCTCAGAGGAGTATTCAGTAGCTCCCAGCAAAGCATCAGGAGGGCGGTACCAGAGGGTCACAACTTCTGAAGAGTATGTCTGACTGGGAATGGACTTGGCCCGAGCAAGACCTGACCAAAGGGGAGAAGCACAGAACTCATCGTCCTGGGTTTTCCTGGAGAACCCAGTGACACATCTACCAAGGAGGGTATAACTGGCTGCGTAAACAATATTTTAACACTAATACACAAACTCTGGGTGCTTTTAATAAAGCTACTCAGCTATCTTGATCCTTGTGTACTTCTTCATCAAGGGAATTTCTCAACTTTTGGCCTACTTTGCATCCAGATGTAGGCTTCCTGACTAAATTCTCGCCTGTGATATGAACAGAAGTGACGTGTGAACTTCCAGATCGTGCACTTAATGGACAGGACAAGCATTCCTTCCTTTTCTCCCTCCACCAGGCTGTCATGAGAAGGTGACAGTTATCTTGAAATATGCAGTTGGGGTGACATCCTAGGGATGGTGGGGCCTCCTTAGAAGTTGTGACTGCTTAGGTCTGATGGTATGTGAGAGTAAGTTCAGCTTCTAGCCAACTTACACCTCTGTGATTTCGGGTCTCTGTAACAGGAATAGAACTCAGTTCATAACTAACGTGGCCAGCCTCCGCTTTAGTGGTGCAGACTCCCCAGGTAGAGAAAGGGTGGGGACTGCTAACCCAAATTAGTTAGTTTAGTAGGACTTCAGACGAGTCTGTTTCAAAGCAGTCCTCTGTGCAATGAGAGTACTTCCTCAGTCAGCTGCTGATCTCACAGAATCACATGATCTGTAGCTGGAAAAATATTCAATAGAAGAGTCACTGCTGCAGGGAGCTGATACATGAAGTCTGTTAAATGCTTACCTACCCAGATGAAAGCTACTATCTCAGAATAAAGTACTGTAGCTAGAGTACAACTATTTGACATCTGCCAAACAGAAGAAGGGTTCCTCAGCTCACACAGAACCAGCTTTTCAACAGATATTTATTGAGTACTTGCTATGGTGCCAGGCCTAGGGATACAATGATAAGCAAAAATGGACCCAGGTTGCCAACATAATGCCTCTAATCTAGTGGAGGAGTCAAAATTGTCACGCAGGTGTGTGGTGTGGTATGTGTGTGTGATTATAAATTGTGGTAAGCACTAAAATGGAAAGCTAGAGTAACACTCAGGAAAAATCTGCATCACTTCAATGGAAATAAAAGCCTTATAGTCACACCTACCTAGAGACATAGTTGAGCAGGAACAAGTGTCCTGGGGCCATCTTTGCAGGAGTCTGTCTGACCATCCAGAGCTTTACCCGGCCATCCTGGGACATCCTTAGTCCACCCTTACAGAATTTGTATACCCACCTAGATTTATAGAAACCTACCAAGTGTAGTTCACTCTTACAGATGTCTCTGTATAAAAAATGGCAGTGGCTAATAGGGGTGCGAAAGTTTTCGGGTCTGATTAGACTGGAGTTTGATAGAATCCTACAGCTGCCATTTTCTCCCTGTTTCTTGCCTCACACTGTGGTAGTTTCCTCTGTGGTAGTTTAATATGAAAAGCACCACGCTCTGTGGGCCTCGATTTTTCAAAGGCCAGGCCTCATCAATGCTTTAAACATGCGTACACAAAAGCAGCATTGTTCACAGCCTAGAAAAAGACTCGCGGGGCAGCTTACCAAAATCAGCCAGTTTGAGCTCTCCCAGGTGACTGATGAGTAAGTTCTGAGGTTTCAGGTCCCTGTGAAGAACGTGTTGGTGGTGGATGTACGCCAGGCCCCGCAAAAGTTGAAACATGAAAAGCTGGAAGGAATGAACACCTTATCTAAACAGATTTGAGCCACTATGTGGGATTCTCTGCTAAATCAGAAACACTCATCTGTAAGAATATCATAAAAGTGTCTCTTGAGAGAGAGGGAGTGGGGGCGGAGAGAGAACATTTTATGTTTAGAGGGGGAAAAAGGACAAGGAAAGTCAGGTAAGCAGCCCGTGTCCTAAACAAAGAGATTCTGGCTTTCCCTGACATCGCATTTCTTTGATATTGAAGGAATTATCCTTTCTTAAAAATCTAGAGCAAGTTTCCTTTGGAACACTAGTTATTGATTTAGATGTAAGAGATTTAATTTTTATACCCCACTGATGAACTTGGCATAGGAGATCAAAGTTGACCTGGAAATGATATACGAAGGTTTACAACTGCTTAAGTTTTTCAGGCTCTCTGATATGAAACCCTTTTAAAAACACAACACAAGGAGACCAAACTGGAAAATATACCCTTAGATGGTAAAAGGAAATAAAGGAACCATTATCTTTTTAAACCTATTTTTAAAGTCTTAGGTTCAAAGTTGAAAATAAGGGAAATAAACATAAAATAAGAGGGAAGAGAGACTAAAAGAAATTAGATCAAAAAAGAAATTCAAAAGAGAACAAGGAGTAAATAGAAGAGAAAAGAAAAAAGGTGGGGGAAACAGCAGAAAAAATACATTCTGGGCCCCAAATTTTAAAATGTTCCACATTATAATAAGGCACAGAAACCAGACATTTAGGTTCTCATCATTATAGAAGTTTAAGGTTAAAAAAAAAATGAATGCTTAGTTTTCCAAGTGTCTTTTGCTATTTTCCAGTGCCACTGGCAATTGAGAATTTAAACACCAACATTAGTGTTTACAAAAACCTATGCCAACTGAGAACATGTTCTGACAGTTTAGAAAAGAAAGGACCAGCCCCAGCATTCCTGGGGACACAGGCTAAGTAACAGATACAGAGCTAAGCGAATAAACCCACGTTTTCCATCACATCTCGGAAACCAGGAACTTCAGAGCTTCTAGGACCTGTGCTGATCTACCAATGACTTGGAGACATCGTAGCCAAGGTAATGCGCAGCGTGGTCTGACTGAAGCAGGAGCCTGGGGAGTGCAGCCACCATAGCGTAGCTGAGGCCGTGTAGGTTTGATACAGGCCGCGGATCAGTTGTACAAGCTATTTACAAATGCTGAAAGTTTCTGGAGGCTTCTACTTCAAATGTTCCCTGGTTCTATGAATCTTGCCAAAGCTTTATCTTCTTGGTGCTTCAAACACATACCCTGTTTACATTTTCCATTCATCAAATCACTAAGCTACCAAAGTACAAATTTCTTGTGTCTCATCTAAACCTTCTTATTGGTTATAATGTTCATGGAAAAGACAATATAAAAAAACCACTGAAATTCCAGGTGAAAAATAAGATGCCACGGTATATGTTGTTCCGTGGGAAAGTACTCAGGACAGAGCAAGATGGAGGCAAGTGAGGGACAGGAGACAGAAAGATGGTGATCACTGAGGAAGACAGACAGAGGAAGGGAGAAAGGGAAAATAATATTTACTGAATGCCTTTCGCTTTTTATAATTCTCAAAACAACCCTGTGAGGAAGATAGGCTTGTCCTCAATTTACAAATTGAAAAAAAAAAAAGGAAACTTAAAAAATACGTCTAGAAAAAGGCAGGGCCCAGTGTCAAAAATCAGGGCCGCCTGACTCTGCTATTACACCATCCTGAGAAGCCAGAGAAAAGACAGAAAATTAAAACATGACAGGCAGAGAGGGAGTCGGTAGCTGAGTCAGAAATGGAGCTTCTCCGTGGGCCAGGCTGAAATGCCTTTCATGTCCCAGGGATGGCCTGTTCTTACTAATTAGTCACGCTTGCCTCCTACCTTCTTGCTCTCAGCCTCTTTCCTCCTTGGCTCCACACATGTCTGTCTGCAAGCATTTGGAAGGGGTAAAAGCACTCTGGTGTTAAGGTATGGTATTTCACAGCCACACTGCTCAAAACTGCATTGCGTGCTGACTAAGCTCACCACCCACTCACTCTTTAATCCTTTACAACCTGGATTCTTCCTTCAGCACTGCCAAAGCTTCGCTGACAATATGACCCAATTTGATGGTGTTTTTTTCAGTCCACATCAAGCCAGATCTGTGGGTGACTCTTTCCAGAGAGGCATCCCATACCCCAGGGCTCAGTTCTCTTTCCAGCACAATGAGACTCTTGGGAACAAAATGTAATTCCTTTGGGCTACTGCCATCTGGGCTGGAATCCCTCAAATCAGAGCAGTCAGCCAACTCCTGCAGGGAAGCTTGAGTCCTTCCACTCACCAGGGATCCCTGGGGCTTGTTAAATCCAACACTGGTGAACCTCACTCTGATCCCCATGTCTCACTATGTCTTCTGTGATTACTACGCAAAAAATAAGCCTCTCTGACTATTCTTTTTTCTTCCCATAAGCTCATGTCTATATTGCTCTGGGCTTCCTCTTATTTAATCCAATATCCATAGTTCCTTCCTCAACCAAATTTTTCCACTGCTCTCTTCACTCCTCAATCCTGGTTTAAAAACCCTCTACAACTCAACCTCCGATGAATTTCCTTTTGGCTCCTTTCCTTAAATGGGACCTTGATTTCACTGCTTCCTTATAACATCCTCAAGTGCATGTTAGTTTCTCTACAGCTTACTCATACATTTGATCACTGAGAGGTGGGGCCAACTGTGACCCAACTCCTTAATACCACTTCAAAACCATTACTTCTCCACCCTTAAATAAAAACCCCTGTTTCTTGCCACCCAGCTACATTTTCCTCTGTCCCTCTTTTCACTCTCATCCACACAAGTCCCCACCACACTCCATTATTCACTGAAGACGTGGGCTCCTGGATCACAGCTGTGGCTTCCTTGATATCAATGGCCACATGAACCAGTTAAGCTGACTTCCTCAGTTCCAGTGATCTGCTTCTCCAATCACCTTCAGCCCCTCACTTCACGATAACATAGTGGGTCTTATCATCATAAGCAACTGTTTTAATCACATCATTCATATATATATAATTTATTCATTTTTACCATGGTCATCAATAAATTCCATTTATTTTTCCATCAATGGAAATCCAATGGATACCTCTCATGCCTTCTCTTTGCAGCATTTGGCATTGTTGACTATACCTTCTTTCCTGAAGCTCTCTCCCTTGGTACTACAATCTTTTAATTGTTCTCCTACTTCTCTGACTGCTCTTTTTATAGGTTCCATCCACTTCCTCTTCTGAGCTCTAATATACTGAAATTCCTTAGGGTGCCCTCCTTGACATTCTCCTCTTATCATTCCACATACTCTTAGCCATCTTATCCACTCAATTAACAACTGTAATCTGAAGATTTCAAAATCTTTATCTCCAACTCAGACTCTTTCTTGAACTCTAGACCCATGTAGTCTGAACATTCCATAATCACCCCAAACTCAGAATGGCTAAAACTTGCCTCACTATTTACTTCTGAAATCCACTTTCTCCTCTCTTCTTCTCTCTTAATGAATAGCACTATTATCCATCTAAATATGCAAAGTTAGAAAAATTATTGCTGACTCTTTTGTCTGTTGTGAACTCTAGCTAAGTAACTGATTGCATATATGCCCACTTTCCTCCACCATCGCCTCACAGCTGCACCACTGTTGTGCTGATTAGCCTCAGTGTCAAGGTGGGAAGCCTAACAGACACCAGCATTTAGGGAATGACTAGAGGAAATGGGAGGATGGGATGGGAGTAGAAGAAACACAAGGAGAGAGTGAGGTCAGGGGACAACATTTCCCGAAAACGTATTGCCCTTTCCCAAACTACTCCAGTCATCGGAGTAAGCTTTACAAAAAGAAAATCTGAAATTATCACTTCCTTGTTTAAAATCTGTTAATGGCTCCTCAAATTGAATACATGACACAGCTGGGCCCTTCATGCACTGGCTCCTACTTCCCTCTCAAGTCTCATCTCTGATCATCCCCAACTCTGCTAATTCCAAACTTCCAGCTTTACTGAATTATCATCAGGTCTTGGAATAGACCATGCCTTCTCTGTCATCCCAGTTTTTTCACTGCTGCCTCTACTATGGGGTACTCATCCCTACTCCCATCTGCTTTGATTGGATAACATCTTCCTTTCTGTCTCCCTATGCCCAAAACACATCCCTCTGTTTATTAGTGTGTGTCCCTCATACAACCACATGGTCCTTGCAGTATAATTTTCAACTGTATTCTTGGCATTTGTGACACCCTCAGGTATACCCTCCTTGAAACTGTCTCTTCCCTTGACTTGCATGAAAATGTATTTTTTCTGGGTCATCTGCATTCTTAAAAGCTGATTCCCTTGGTCCCTTGCTGTCCTGTTCCTCTTCTCAGTCTCTAAAGGCAAAAGCTCTATCATTAGTCCATTTCCCTTTGTGGATTTGCCCTTTTGGTTATCCACTCTCTTGTCTTTACCCACAAACTCCTTGTGCCCATTACCCTCGAATCTACATCTCCAGCTCATGTCGCCCCTGCGCACCAATCTCCTCTTCAGCTGCCTGCTGCTCATTTCCCTGGGAGCTCATTCTGTCTAAAAAACAGGACTCCTCCTCTTCTCCTAACTAGCCTCTTCTATTTCTATTAACAGAGCTATAATTCTCCTGGTCAATCAGACCCCAAATCAGTCACGTTTGGCCCTACCCTTACCTTCCTCATGTCCTTGATGAATTCTTCACCGTTACCTTTTTTCACATTCCTTTCTATTCTTCCCTTCACTACCATTATTTGGGCCTTTATTACTTCTTACCTAGATCCTTGATACTCAAAGTTTGGTCCTCTATTAGCAGCATCTATATCACCTGGGATCATGTTAGAAGCAGAAGCTCAGGCTTCACCCTAGACTTACTGAGTCAGATCCCCAGGCCATTCATCCGCTCACTGAAGTTTCGGAAGCACTGGGCCAGACTACATTAGTGAACTCCCAGCTGGAATCCCTGACTCCAGTTCCCTCTCTTTAATCCACAAGCCACAATTACATGAATTTCCTTTTGATCACATCATTCTCTCTCAAACCCCTCTAATGAGTCTACATCTAACGAATAAAGTCCAAACCTTAGAAAGTAGGGCTCTCAGCCACCGACCCAATCTGTTTCCCCAGACTCGTGCACCCTATTTCACTAATACAGTCTATTAATACATGTCAGGCCAACGGGACTGGAGATGCAATGTATTAGGAGTGGAAAAGTACCCTAACCAAGAATCATTTAGCAAAAGCTGGTTCTATAACCTTGGGCAAAATGTTTGTCCTCTCAAACCTTAGACTGAAACTCTGCAAAACAAGAAAGTTACATCAACCCATTGTTTTTTAAAGCGTCTCCCCTGACACCAGAGCCACAGTAAGAAATGCATATGCACCCACTATTCACATCCATACACATGAGTACCGTTTCGACTGGAACAAAAGTTGCCAAAACATTTTCTATTCTTTTCTCACCCATTCCATTCCATTTTTTAAAATGTTGGGTGCTAGTTACCAAATTGATTTCATAACCCACTAATGGGTCAGAACCTGAGACTGAAAACCACTGTTAGCCCCCTAACCCTAACAATCCATGACTCTGGGATCCTCTTCCTTGAACTTGTCTTCTATTTCCCTGCTATGTACCTTTGGTGGAAACAATTCTCTCTCTAAAATCTTCCCCTATTTCAGCTTCTTTTTTTTAAGATTTTATTTATTTATTTTTAGAGAGAGGAGAAGAGAGGGAGAGAAACATCAATGTGTGGTCGCCTCTCATGTGCCCCCTACTGAGAACCTGGCCTGCAACCCAGGCAGGTGCCCTGAGTGGGAATTGAACCAGTGACCCTTTGGTTCACAGGCAGGCACTCAGTCCACTGAGCCACACCTATTTCAGCCAGGGTCTATTTCAGCTTCTTAAAATGCCATGCATTTTTAAAGTTCTGGCTTAATGAAACCACCTGAAATGAGAAAATATATTTTACTCCTTTATGCACCTACAATACCAGGTCTTATTTCTTATTTGGAATTATTCACCAATGTCCTGTATTGGCATGTACATCTTTTACCTTGTTTTCGGATGTAAGTGCCTTGAGAGCAGGACTCTGTCTTCTCTTTTTTCCCTCCTCAGGGCAGTGTCTGGTATGTCAATTACATAAGCCTGCAAATCTTTCTCACGGTATTTTTTTTCCTCCAACCATTCTTCTACTTAATAAACACCTTTAGTTTAGTTTTTTGGCTCTTCTGCTTTCTACCTATCAGGAACCTGCCTATCTTCACTTCTTTCCCTCAGTTTAGAAGCCACCAACCATCATTCTAACCACTGGACATTCTCTTCAATTCTCTTGCCAAACTGTCTTTTCTTCCCACTTATCTGGCAAAACCCTAACTCTGAATTAATCAAACTGTGGACTTTCTCCACTCCTCTGTTTGAATTGCTAAGCACTGCTATTTAAAAAAGTCCCATGATCATGCAGATAATTTAACGACTTTAATTCTCATTAGAATCTTTACATACTACTAGACTTTCTTGGTTTCCCTAGTTAGTTTCCTATACCATTCTCCACTAGCTATTAAAATTTCTTCACTCTCCTGAACCCCTCTGTCCTCAAGCCTTTTCCCCTTTGGCTTCAAGAGTAGATTGAGTTCCTTATTAAGAGTTCTCATAATATTCCTACTAACATGGCTATAGCCTTATCACTTTGCTTCTTACTGCCTATTTAAGTTCTTGTATCTGATGATGCTTTAAACACACTTAAAATAAGAAAAAACAACATATTCATTAGTAAAACTTAAGGACTTACTAAGTACTCAATAAATATTTCTTGAATAAATGAATACATAAATTATTAGTTAAATGAATGAGTACATATAATACAAATCTCATGGGGTTAGGTTAAGTGCCAATCAATTAATTAGTGGCAATAAAACCTTTGGGAATGAAAAGTATAAAAGACAAGTGGTTTCTAAAATTTATAATGTTGAATTACAGCTAGGTAAGAGTTTATTATTTTTTCTATTCTAATGACTGGAAAAATGGAAGCTAGTCTCATAGGTAATAGGATCTGACAGAGCAGGCAAAAGGGTAACTGATTAAGATCTAACAAAAGTAGTTTGCTAATTCTAGTGGAGAACTATAAATACAATGCAGACTTTATCAGAGGACACAGTAGTTTGCCCTGAAAAAGGTATTTATTTCATGATGGCCTACCTTCACTGCTTCCTTTTTAACTGGCTCATGCTTCTGGAGACACACCTACATGATGGCAATGACTGACAAGGTTGGGCTGCCCACAAAACAGCTAAACATTGCTCCATTCCTTGAGGGGCAACTTTTTGTTTTTAACTTTTCTCTAGAATGTCAGTGATAGCCATCTTATTTAGTATCTTGGGACTTTGCTTTGCACTGGCAGTCTGTTTCCAAATTCTCCTGTTGTGGGCAAGCCGGAGATCCTGACCCTCAGGGTACTCACCCGGACATTGTGAGGATGAAGCCCTCCTGGGTGCTGAGACATGTACTGGGCCAGGTCCGTGTGCTAGATGAAACAGCGGACAGACAGATGTTAGTGGTGTTTGGGCAACACCCAAAGCAGAGCACAGGTTTGACTGTCAGAAGCATTACGAAGCTCAGAATTTTTGAGAATAAGGTGCCAAAGCTACATAATCTGGTTTTCTGAGACCCCTCTGTTAAGGTCAAACACTGTGTCTTTCTAAATGGTTGCTCTTAGAAGGAAGCTTGTTTCTCAGCACAAAGAGATGCTCATCTTAAATGACTGTCACCAAACACGATGACAGAGGGATTTTTTACTCTTCTTGGAGGCAAGTCAAGTACACATACCTCATGATTTCTTTCTGTTAATATTTGAATAGTTTTTCCTCTCAAAAATGCAAAAATGAGTTATCCTTCAGTAAACTTGTATACAATTGTTAGAAACCTTGGGATTTATGTCAATGAAAAAATGTTGAGTTCTGCTCAGATAGTGATTAAAAATAGATTCCAAACAAGTGTAAAAGTTTTATTTAGGAGGCAAACTCAAAATTCTTATTTACTATTGCTGGTGAGGGGCAAAAGAGCAGATATAGTGGATAAAGAAGCAAGATTAAAGAATGAGCATAATAACAATAGGCTCTGTTAATCATAATAATGAAAATTTCCATGACACGTTCCACGTCGTAATGAAAATTTTATCATGCCATAAAATATTAACAGACTCATTATACAAGCACCAGGCTTTTCCCTCATGCTTTGTACAATGCTGGGGCAACTCACCATGTATTCAAAAACGAATGTCAGTGTCTCTTTGGTGTGGATTATGTCATGCAGGAGCACAATATTGGCATGTTTCAAACCCTTCAAAAGAGAGGCTAGACAAATGAAACAAAATGTTAATTCAGTCATTGATAATGAAAGCACTGCTTTAAAGATATCAAGCAGTATTTACTTTTTAAACATTTCAAATAAAGCATTATGGGTTTTCATTGCTGGAAAAATCTCTTGTGAAATAATATTTAAAATTACAAAGGACTTCATTATTCGTTAAATGGTGAGTCACTGCATTTGCATACCTTATTTTTTTAATAGGTTAGAGCAGTTGCAAAAAAATATGTTTCCATTTACCCAATCAATTTCATCAAAGCACTCAGAGCACTTTGCAAATGCTTTCCTCTGGGAATCTTATCATCTCTGCTTCAGAGTTACAGGAGAGGAGGCCTGGAGAGATAAAGGCCACGGGATGGGGGCGGGGGCAGGAAACCGAGTGCTCTGCCTTCTAGAGCAGGACTTTGCAACACGTGACCATTTTCTAAAATCCGAAATCCCACAGGAGCTCAGCAGGGCTGGTGGATGGGGTTGGTAGAAGACAGGGATAACAGCATGGGATGAAAAACTGTTAAAACATAATAAAGAGTGGAGGAGATTTTTACAAAAATACTTTATTTATTTATTGATATTTTTGAGGGAGAGAAGAGGGGGAAAGAGAGAGAAACATCTATTTGTTGGTCCACTTATTTATGCATTCTTGGTTGATTCTTGTATGTGCCCTGACCAGGGACCAACCCAAAACCTTGGTGTATCATGATGATGCTCTAACCAACTGAGCTACCCAGCCAGGGCCTGGAGGGGATTTCTTAAAGGGAGTATTACAAATTTCAGTGGAAAGGAGAAGATGCAAACTTGGGAGCCCAAAGGAGTAAGAGTGGGGAGGGTGTAGGACTGTCTCTTGCATCTTCAATAACAGGTTATTATTAGGTCGGTAAGAGCCTAAAAGGGGAGAAGTCTCCTCAAAAGGCTAGCAAGTGGCTGGCAGGGGGGTTAAAAGGCTGTCTTTGGGGGTTCCAGAGATAAGAAGACCAGAAGGGAAGAGAACAGAAAAGGAACAAAAAGAGGATGATGAATCTCTCAACTCAGGACATCCCTGTACAAAGAAATAGTGTTCTTAAGACTTAACGGAAAGGAAAAGTTAAAACTCAAATTGATGTTCTGTAAATTTAAAAACAAACTCAAATGCTCCCTTCAAATTTTGGCACAAAATTACTTCCTTCAGTAATCTTATCCATTGTAATCATCCTCTGTTGTTTTGCTCTCCTGACAGCTGTTCTCTCTTCTGGGGTGGAGGGCACCTCTGTTTTCCTCTGGGGAAGCAACCCCTACTCAGTCAATGCTCTTTCCGATGGGGCTGACCCCACCCCTACCCAGGACTGGGCATGTGACCAAGGCCTGTCCAATTAGAGCACAGTTTTGTTTTGTTTTGTTTTGTTTTGTTTGCCACAGTGATTGGTTCAGAGACAGGCACAAAACCCACTCCTGGGTGAACACTACTTTGCTGTTGCCATCAGGATAGAAGTGCTTTCTCCTCTACTCTGAGGGCTGGGCTTGTAGGATTTAGCCAGGAGCTGCTCTGGCCAGATTACTAACACCTGGGAATAAAGCTAGGCAAAGAAAATCAGGCATGGATTCTAGAGACATCATTTGTTCCCTGCTAGTTTGCCGTTATCAGATCTCTGAGCCAGCGAATTTCCTTCTTTACTCACCTTAGTTTGAGCTGGCAACCTGTTACCACCTAAGGAGCCCTATTTCACCCATTAACCCTGCTTATCTCTACTAATACTCTTAACTTAGTTTTTGCCCCTGAATCCTTATGCGCTAAATTTATTATTTTACTCTTACAAGTACATTGCTTTGAAAATGAAGTAAACAGTTTCATAGGCATCTGCTTAGTGTCCCTACCCCCAAACTGAAGGCTAAATGCAAATAGAGGGAGTGACTTTCTCTCTCTTTCAGATGCTGCCACACCACCTAGTACAGTGCTCAGCCAAGAGTAATCACTTAATTTATCAAATATATTTATTGAGTGTCTTAACAGAGAGCTGACTGTGGAGCCAGAAGGCTTAATGTGAATCCTGGCCCTGTCACTTTCTATCCAAGTGAGCTCCGGGCAGTATCTCAACCCAAGCCGCAGTTCACTCCTTGTGAAACAGAGATAATGCCCTTCCTGACTTGACTTGCATGCAGGGTTGACACGAGGATGGAACCAAATCCTATGCGTGGATCCCTGGCAAATGTCAAGCATCACACAGTTGCAAATTAGAATTAATACTTGCCACTATCAGATTGCTCTTTATTTCCATGTCTCGGGGAAGGGTCAAGTTAAGGAACATGTATAAAAGACCCATGGACAAGGACAATGGGGGAGGAGGTAGAATTGAATGTGGGGGAAGAGGGGTGGGCAGGGCAGGGGAGAGCAATGGGGCAAAATGGGGACAACTGTAATTGAACAACAATAAAAATTTTTTAATAAAAATAAGATAAAATAACCAAACAAGAAAAAAGAATTAATACTTGCCCTTCCCTTTTACCTTAAACCTCACTAAATCCCCATTCCCAGATCATTATCTTAAAATTTTATTTATACTAATTCATAATCCAGAGAACAATTTGATGGAGGGTTGGGTGAAAAGGAGAAGGGATGAAGGTGTGCCGACTGCCAGTTATAAAAACAGTCCTGGGGAAGTAAAGCACAGTAAATGGAACATAGTCAATAATACTGCAACAACCATGTATAGTGTTAGATATGGGTACTAAACTTACCCAAATTATCATTTTGTAAGTTATATAAATGTCTAATCACTATGCTGTACACTTGAAACTAATATAGTATTGTATATATTGTATTCAATTACAACTTAATTTTTTTTAAGTTTATGCACTTTGTGCTAGAGTTCTCAATACCTCCTATACTTACAATGACTTCTGACTTCAGTTAAACATTCATATGTTTTATGTGTATTTTTATTTGCAAATTATGTTAATTTTATCTCTCTCTTTCTATCCCCCACCCTCCACACACAATTACAAAACGTGTGCCAAAATTAGATTTTAAAAGAATATAGCTCTGGCTGGTGTAGCTCAGTGGATTCAGTGCCAGCCTGTGAACCAAAGGATCACTGGTTTGATTCCCAGTCAGGGCACATGCCTGGGTTGCGGGCCAGGTCCCCAGTGGGGAATGCAGGAGAGGCAACCATACATTGATGTTTCTCTTTCTTTTTTTCCTTCCCTACCCCTCTCTCTAAAAATAAATAAATAAAATCTTTAAAAAGGGATAGAGTAAAGCTGAAATTGCTAAGAATATTGTAAAGATATTTAGATTTATTTTAATATAAAATTTATTCTCAGTGAAATATATTAATAAAACTCCTGGTGCTTATTTTTTAAACTATGATTTGTATGGTTTAATGTGCTCTGACTGGACTCTCATTTGCTAAAAAGCTCAAAGAATAATACTCACTTAGGATAAGGCTCACTACTAACATTAGTGGGTATAATCTTTATTTCAGACAGTTTTCTTGATAATTTCTGCTCACTGGCTCTCGTCATATTGGCTTTCTACCTGTTCCCTGGACACTTTTGAACACATTTCCTCCCTGGGTCTTAGCACTTACCTTTGCCTCTGCATGCAACCCTCTTGTCTGAGCTCTCTGCGTGCTTCCTCCCCCACTTCTTCAGGTCTCTGCTTAAAGTCTTGGCTTCCCTGCCATCTCCCACCCCAGTGATCTCTATTCCTGCGCCCTGCTTTAGTCTTCTTCATACAGCTTGTCACCCCTGACATATTATAGCACTTATTACCCCTGACATATTATATATCTGTTCATTGTCTGTCTCCACCCTTAAGAATATAACTTCCATTAAGAGCAGGAACTGTTGTCTTTTGCTTATTGCTATATCTTCAGTGTCTAGAACAATGTCTGCTCTATTATAAGCATTTACTATCAAATTAGTGGGCACAGGTTGCCTAATATCATTTCTATACCTCTAATTGGTTGGTATAGGGTATTTCTGCTGAAGATGCTATTATCTCCTATTTCTTTTAGTTGTTATCCTCATTTTTATAAATGTGGTGTTTGTTATGGTCATATCTACAACTGCTGTTGTTTGACACCCCAGAACTACTGAATACATGAAACTGTGGCTTTTGATGGTGAATAGTAGAGAATTTACATGAAAGAGTAGATGGTGTTTAAAGCATTTATCTGATGGTGTGGGTGTGTTGTTTGGTCCAACTACCAGAGGGATCAAAAATGTCTATGGCTTCAGATGTGTGGGTCTCAAACCCAGAAAGAAAAGATATTGCTCCTAATTTCAAGTTTGTCTCGTAAACTTCACAGCAGGATGTGATGTGTTTGCAGGCTAATCAGCTGAGGGATGCAAAGCCAACTGAGAAGGGAAAGATCTTAAAATCAGAACATTCTGATTCCTGTAAAATTATTGCTTTTATAGTTCACATATTCTACATCTACTAATTTTCAGTTCTCTTCAAGGAAAAGACACAAAGATAAATTGGGGAGCCTTTAAAGCTCCAGACAAATGGAACCACAGTGGAATTCCTTTGAGTGCTTCCAAAATACTGTTATAATGATGATGATGATAACGATGATGATGATAGCTAACAACCCGGTGCCAGGCATTGTTGTAAGAATTCTATGTATATTAACTTGGTATGATCGTGAGAACACCCAGAAAAGCCAAAGACAAAACTTGAAGAAAACAACATAATCCCAAAGACCAAGAAAAATGACCCATGACTTAAAGTTATTAAGCTCGTTTTAAAAATGCAAAGTATTTCTTTATTTTAAATACCCAAAAAGATGTTTAATATGACTAACTGGTTTCATATTACATGGAATTTAACTTGATTCTCATATATGTTAAGATATTTACTAATTTAGAAAAATGTCACTTTCATCTTGTAATTATTTGAGAATATTTAATTTCTTGTTTTCATTAATTTCCTTGGTTTTTGTGGCTCAGTAAAATTTTATGAAAATTGATACTTTACAGGAGCCGTGGGTCATAAAAATTTGATGCTACTCTACTCTGTTCTGCTTTAGTTTAGACTCTAAAGGTTCTTGGGGGTGTCCAACATTTTGGCATCTCTGAGCCACACTGGAAGAAGAAGAGTTGTTTGGGCCACATGCTAAATACACAAACACGAACAAAAACTGATGGGCAAAAAACAGATTTTGAGTAAATTTTATGATTCTGTGTTGGGTCACATCCATAGTCATCCTGGGCCACATGCAGCCTACGGGCCATGGGTTGGACACCCCTGGTAGAAGGAAAGGTAAAAGGTGATGATGACCAGAAAGAACAAGGCTGGCTCTCAGAGTTCTAGGGCATAGCCCCATATAGTGAGAGCCTGGTAGTCAAAGCTCTTTCTAGGCCGTGAGCTCCTTGAAGGTATGGACTGTCCCTGTCCGTGTCTTTCATCTCCAGCACCTAGCACAGGCCTGGCATGTGGTGCTCACTAAGTGCTTGTGAATTCATGAAGACCAGACAGTTGTAATGAGTTTATGTGAGAGTCAGTAATGGAGCCAATTCCTACCCCAACCCCCACTGGGCATCGAATTAAGGGTCTGTAGTTCATGATGTTACATTTTCTCTGGTCTGGGTGTCACGAGTCAAGTCAGTGAGTTCAGTTATGAATTCCAAGAAAAGAAATCAGATAAATATTAAGGCAAATGTGAGATAAGTAGTTATTATCTGATTTCTTTGGAATTATAATTTTATCACATAGCATCACCCTGGCATCACTTTGTTTTATAGAAGTGTAACGGCGCACATGTAGATATGCTGTGTCTGTGATGTGATTTGATTGCGTTCAATGGAGAACTTCTTGTCAGCCTGGCCTGCTGCAACCTCTCTGTGTAACCAATGAGTCAGCGATTCTAACTGGTATTCCATACCTCACTGTATGACCTTAGGGAGGCTTCTTAGTCTATTTTTGGCCGTTTTCACATATATGGACTGGGAATAATTACTTTGTAATGTTTTCTACTAGAGAATGCTCTTAAAAGATTCTCAGCTAAAACTGTTTCTAATGTAAACACTGCAATTACTGGTGTTGTGCAATCCATGACAGAATCAGAATTGACAAATATACACTATTATATATTATTTTCTTTAAAATGTTTCATCTGCATTTTGCTTAACATTTATACATAACGTATCATAAAATAGATGTTTATGTTTACTGTTGCTAAAGAAGACATGTTCGAGTTAAGGAGTTCTTAATTTATCACAGTAAAATAGGAGTTTAAATAGCAGAGATTGGATTCTGCTACCTAACAACTCTGATCTCTAGTTCTGAGATCTCAGACAAGTTACCTAAATTCTCTGAGGTTTAGATACCTTCATTTCTACTGCAGAAACAACACACTTTACCTCCTTGGGTTGCTGTAAGGGTTTTAAAACAAGATAATGTATGTGCAGGGGAGGTTATGGCTGCTTCCTAAACAAATCCTGTGAACAAGCTGAATGTCCTGGGTTTAAACCAAAAGTTTCTAATGTTATAGGAAGAAATTTAAAATAATGTGCATTATTATGATGTTGAGACACAGCCCTGGCTGTTGTAGCTCAGCGGATTGAGTACAAGCCTGAGAACCAAAGGACTGTGGTTCAATTCCCAGTCAGGACACATGCCTGGATTGCAGACCAGTTCCCAGCAGGGGACGCACGAGAGTCAACCATACATTGATATTTCTCTCCCTCTCTCCTTCCCTTCCCCTCTAAAGATAAATAAATTACATTTAAAAAATAAAAACAAAATTAAAAAAAGATCTTGAGAAACAGTTCATAAAACTAGGGAACATATTCTTATGTAAAAACTTAAAATACTAGTCTATTCAAATAAAAGTGTTTTCCTCTAGTTGTAAAAACAAACATTTTAAATATAAAATTGTAAAGTGAGTTATGAGAGATTGTCTAAGTTGCTATGAAGGTAGCTAATCTTTTTAATTAACAAAAGAATGAAGGTAGAGGGCATACCTATGGTGTGCACTGCTAAGTATCTAGTAGCTGGCAGAGTACCTGGACATAGTAGGTGCTCAATAAATATTTGCAGAATGACTGCATGGAGCACATAAATTTTTGAACCAGAGATTTGGTTTGAATTATAGCTATATATTAGAACAAAAAAAGATGATGATCTATTTTCAAAGATTGTTAAGGGAATTTTGAAAGGGGTAGTAACATAAAAATTATCTGGCATAGGTATTAAAATATGTGTCCCTTAGTGCTGTTCATACTTTTGCTAATTTCATAACATTACATGTTAAGATCAAATAGTATTCCAAATGACTAGATTAATAAACTGCCACATGTATTCTACTTATGTAGAGACTGTACATATAGTAACATTCTACTCAATAAATCTTTGGCTGATATATCATAGTCCAGCCAAAATGTTCAAGAAAAGTAATTCCTTCTTCAAGGCTTTTTAAAGAAGTCTGCATTACTCGCTCAGTTTTTCTGCACATGGCTTTCAGTTGCCTTTTTAGCTAGTGACCCTGGATTCTAACTAATGAATTCCATCTGTTCTTATTCTGCTTTCCAGCCCTTCTCATTTAACCTCCTGTCTCCCTGGCCTCACATCCTTAACGTTCTTTTGAGAAAAGTGGGACAGTGCAAAAGTTTTCAAACGAGGTCTCACATCTTCTGGAGAGAAGAGGACTGCTCTAACAAGGGCTCCCCACTTTTACACTGCTGGAAAAAGAAACATTCATCATCAGAAATTAGATGCCTAACAACCTCTAATGTGTCAAAAATCCTTTTGTGGTTTTTAATATTACAAAGCAAAGCATTCAGTAAGGTAAGTCCATAAAGGAAAGCAAGGAAGTCCACCGTTGAATACTAACTGTAATTGCAAACACCTGTGATGGAGAGCCAAGTCCTGGTAAATGTGCAGTAAAAGAAACATTTAGCATACAGAACAATACTGATCCAACTTTTCCGAACCCCGCTAAGAACCGTCTGTTAGCAAAACCAGTAAAAGGTTTTGTCAAATATCAACCCCCAAATATTGGCTGTGGGCAAAATCTGAGTAAGGCAAACCTGAAGCAATAGACAAGTGCATAAAGTAAACACCATAAAGAATGAGGTGACCTGGGGACTTTTATTACATTCAGAAATACTCCTTAACCTATATACATCTCTGTCTAAATTTGGTCATTCTTTAATGATGACCAATAACAAGTACATTAGTAAATGTACCTTTCATTATATTAAACACTTAAAACCATGCTTTTCTCTAGAATGCACCTGATCCTACCAGGCTGAATCCCCAGCTAACTTGATAGCCATTTGGCCCTTCTACTTACATTCAAAATAACACATTTCCCAGGGGGCTCTGAAAGACTGTTGAAAATGGCATCAAATTCAGTTATAAACTCATTTTCTGAATTGCTTTTTCCATGCCTGTTTGCATAACCCTTTCTTCCAAGCTCTGTCCAAAATCTACTGACTCCATTAGCCACGCTGATGCTAACTGGTTCCCATCTTAGTTTATGTCTTTTTTACCTCCATAATAACACTGGTTGTAACTGGAACCATCTGCTCTGGTACATCTGAAAATGATATAGAGCAAAGATCAGGCTTTTTCTTCTCATCCATCACAACACCCAGCAATAGGCCTTGCATACGGGATGTGTGCAGAAAGAAGGGACAAGAAAAGGAAGTGGTTAAACAGGGAGAAAGTAAGGCCAGGGAAGAGCCATTTCTCTAGGTTTTTGATGAAATGAACAACAATCCTATTATCACTTTGTCTCAAATGGGTCACGGTAAAAGGTTAATAAATGGAATTTTTAATGATTTATTTTCACTATAGTGGCTTCTTGATGGTGGACAAGTCATCACTAAAGGGAGGGAACAAAAATGGAATAAATAACGGCCAGCACTTGTTGAATTCTGAAAATGGATTCTGAGATCAGTACTTTTTTAAAATAAAGATTCTATTTATTTATTTATTTATTTTTAGAGAGATGGGAAGGGAGGGAGAAAGAGAAGGAGAGAAACATCTATTGGTTGTCTCTCATGTGCCCCAACCAGGGACCGGCCTGTAACCTAGTCATGTGCCCTGACTGGGAATCAAACCAGTGACCTTTTGCTTTTCGGGACAGTGCTCAATCAACCGAGTCACACCAGTCAGGGTTGATTAGTACTTCAAAGCATATTCTCATTTAATCCTCATAACAACTCAAAGAAATAGATACCAGAGAAAGAGAAATTATCCTCTTTCTGCAATAAACTGAGTCTTAAATAGGTAACCTACTCACAGTCATGCCACTGGTCATTGGTAGGTCTAAGATCCAAACCCAAGTCCAGCCACACCCACCTGCGGTGCTGCCCAGGGCATACAGAAAACCCAGGCACAACACTAAAAACACATGCCTTCCCAAAGAGTTTTTCAAATGCTATCCAAACAACTTATTTTCAAGTAAATTGCTTACTCATGATTTGCAGGATTATAGTATTTATTTTATCTTTTATATGGATTTTTCTGGGTTTACATAGATGTAGCTTTTGCTGTTAGTGTGCAGCCAAATACACAGAGGTACTTAGTAAATACTTGTTGAGTTCATGGGCTTGGTCAACTAATATAATACTTTTGAGTCTGATTTCCCTCAAGAATAAGTAGTAAAATGATAGTGTAAATATGAAAACTGGTATAAAGAATAAAATTGCAATTAGAATATTAATCCTAAAAATATCAAAAGCTAGATGCTGAATAGGTAGATTCAATGCATTTTTCCCCCCAACCAAGGAATTAAAGCAGATCTTTTGGGTCCATTTTACTGTTCTTACCTTCCCGGATAGCAGTAAATGGGACTCCCTCCTCTTCATTCATACTGATGACTTTTAAAGCCACCAGTTGCCTGTTTATTCTAGAAGAATAGGCAAAAAGTCACACATTAGGATGATGCATAGCAGTTTAACAAAAAGAACTTTTCCTTCAAAATATATTCTAGAATATGAATCAAAATAAAGTTTTAAAAGTCATACATATATATACCAAAACCTTTTTTCTCTTTACCTAAGTGATCCATGTTCATTACTTAAAAATTTGAAGAACACAGAAATCAGAGAACTCCTCCCAACTGAATCCATCCTCATAATATTTTGATGTATCTTGTTCCTTGTACTTCTCTTTGTGCACTTATCTGAGCCATCCTTATTTTTCATCTGAATTATCGTAGTGACCTCCTAACAGTCTTTCTGCTTGTACACTGGTACCCCTACAGGCCTCTGGAGAACCCCAGGGCCTCCTTCTAAAGTGAAAGTCAAAACAAGTCACTTCTCTGCTCAAAACAAACCACTATCACTCTGAATAAAAGCCAGATTCTTGTGGCCTCCTAGGTGCTACCTGATCTGCCTAATCCCACCATTATCTCTCTCCCTCTCTTCATCTCCTCCTACTCTCTATTTATTTATTGTTTTGTTTGCTGATATACGTAAGCTAAGCACCAGAGAACAGAGAAGATTTTAATGAGAGTATAAATACATTATTTTTAATACAGTGAGGTTCAGATCATATCTTGTCATCTTATGAATAAACTATTTTCCTCCATTTAACTTACTGTCATTCATTCTTGTATTATGTGATATTTAATAATGACATGATATTATCACATATGCAAAAATGTGTTTAGACAACTCCAAATACCTTTAAATTATTTCTAACTTTTTTGACTTACAAAAATACAGTGATGATCATATCTGTAGATCAATCTTTTCGCACAGCCCCTGTTATTTTCTTAGGGTAGTGGAGTAATTCCTAAGTCAAACAGTATGCTGCACATGTGTTTTTATTGTTTTAATAGCATGTTTCCAAATTATGCCACAGAGTGATCACACCATGAACTGGTCGTGAAAGTGGCCATTCCAACACTCCCTCACCAACACTGGGCAGAGTTGTTGGTTTTTCCTTAAGATTTCATGTTTTAGAACAGCCTTTGATTTATGGAAAAATTGAGAAGATAGTACAGGAATTCCCATACACCTCACAATCAATGTCTTTTTATTGTTAACATCGTATATAGTATGTTACATTTGTTATAATTAATGAGCCAATGTTGATACATTATTATTAATTAAAGCCCATAGTTTATTATAAATTCTTTAATTTTTGCAGTACAACTGTATTGTTTATTGTGGGTTGCATTGAAATAGGTAAAATTTGATGAGAATGTAGCATAATATATAGGAAAATCCATAAAACTACCATACCTATGCATTTTTCCCAATAAACTTATTTAATAAAGATTTTTAAAATTCCTAATGGACAAAAATATCCTCTACTGTCAGTTATAACAGAAAAAATAGAAATATCAGAAATGTCCAACAGCAGATGATAGTTTAAAAATCTGTCACACGGCCCTGACTGGTGAGGCTCACTGGGCTGAGCAATTCCTAGTCAGGGCACATGCCTGAGCCCTGGCTGGGGGCCTGCAAGAGGCCACTGATCCATGTTTCTCTCCCTCTATATCTCTCTCCCTTCCGCTGTCTAAAAATAAATTAATTAAATTTTTAAAAAATTGTCAGACATCAAAACAAGAAATATTTTGCATTCATAACAGAAGCTTATGTCTAGAAGCATGCAGGAAAAAAAAACAGAAAAAAAATCACTATACAATAGATAATAGAATAGAAAACAGCAAGCCTACCCTGTTTGTAACTTTAAATACAATTGACCCTTGAACAATGCAGGCATTAGGGGCACCCACCCTCTATCCCCCAAACAGTCAAAAATCCTCATATAACTTTTGACTCCCCTAAAACTTAACTACTAATAGCCTGTTGTTGATGGAAGACTTACCAATAACATAAAACAGTCAATGAACACATATTTTGTATGTTTTATGTACTATATAATGTATTCATACAGTAAAGTAAGCTAGAGAAAGCAAATGTTACTAAGAAAATCATAAGGAAGAGAAAATACATTTACAGTTTTCATGGGGAAAAAAACCCTGTATAATTGGACCCATGTTGCTCAGATCAACTGTACACCGTGTGCATGTGGAAGACAGAATGCACACATGTAATTGATGTATGAAAGTTATAGATTACAGATGTTTTTAAGTTTTAAAAATCCATTGACTATTATATATTACCTTTTCTTTTTTATTTGTATGGCATTTATGAATTATCAGTCTTATTTCAAAATGTTTTCTTACAATGACTAATTTTTCTTTTTATCTCTTTTAAAGTAGCTATTAGTAGATGTGTAGATTTATGAAATCAATTTATCTTAGTCTTTTCTTAAATTGAGATACCATTGGCATACAGTGTCGTGTAAGTTAAAGGTATACAATGTGTTGATTTGATACATTTATGTATTGCAATATGATTACCAGGATTTCTTTAGTTTTTGCCTAATGTCCTTTTCCTGTCTGGGATCCCATCCAGAATACCATGTTACCTCTAGTTGTCACGTCTCTTTCAGCTCCTCTAGGCTGTGACAGTTTTCCAGATGTTCCTTACTTCTGATAACCTTGACAGTTTTGAGGAGTACTGGTCAAGAATTATATATGATACTTCTCTGTTGGAATTTTTCTTATGACTGCACTGGGGTTACAGGTTTTGAGGAAGTAGAGTACCATTTCCATTACACCATGGTAAGGGTACCTAACATCATCATTTATGACTTTTGATGTTGGCCTTAATCACCTGGCTGAGGGTGTGTTTATCAGGTTTCCTCCCTGTGGTTATCCCACCCCCCACACTGCACTTACAGAAGAACCTCACACTGGGTAGCTCACACTTATGGAGTGGGGAGTTATACTCCATCTCCTTGAGGGTGGGTTATCTACACAATGATTTGGAATTCTGCATGGGAAAGGTGTCTCTTCTCTCTCAATTGTTAATTTATTGAACCATTTATTTATATCAGTGTGGACTCATAGATATTTCTTTTATACTTTGAGTTATAATCCAACACTGCAGTACCAAGTAGTTTATCTTGTGGCTCAAACTTTTCTACCTTTGTCCTCTGGGAGCTTTTTCAGTTGGTTCCTGTGTCCCTTTGACATACCCCCCTTAAACATGGGATAGGTTTTCTGGAGCATGCTTTTATCTTCATTCTTGGGGCCTATTTATAGGTAAAAAGGATCATCACATTTTAATTTCTATTTCTTTACTTTTGGAACTGAATTTTTAGAAATATATTGCTCTTTCCTTTTCTTTTGTGATTTGCCTATTCACCCACCTTTTAATGAAAGTATTTTGTATATCCTTTTCACCAGTTTTTTTGTGCCTTAGCATGTCTTTGAACTTCTGAACTTTAACAACTTTATGATAGTCACCATTTTCCAAAATGTTTCATTCAGAGCATAGCTCTGTGAAAGTCTCCCCACCCCTCTAAAAAAGGTTTTTGGTCAAATATGTTTAGAAATTGCTTTATGCTTTTTAAATTTTCTTAATCTTTCTTAGATAGTACTGGTATTCGTTAACATTTTAAAGATGTCGGTAGCACCTACAATGAAGGATCACATTTAATTTTGTTCTAGCATTCCTTTGTCAATTTGACAATGGTGATTGCTTCAGTGAAACCTCTATTAAGGTGTCTCAGAATTGAGGCTCCCTAGAACATACTCCAATAAATGGGGCACCACGGACCCTTTCAATCTTCTCTTAAGGGTCTGACTTAAGTGTTGTGTGGAGACAGACCTTTCCCAACCCAAAGGTCACATAGAATTCTCTTATCTATTCTTTTGGTTCCTAGATTTTTTTTCCCATTTAACTCTTTAATCCCAGGACTAAGAAATTTATATGGCATATTTTTACCTTTTCCAAGTTAACAATTGTCCCATCTCCACTTATTGGACTGTCCTCTTTTCCTCGCTGATTTGACATGCCATCATGATTATATATTACCTCTTGCAAATACTTGGATTTGTGACTGTTTTTAGATATTTTAAAATCACATTTCTTTAATCTGTCTTTTAAATTTTTTTTATTGACTTGAGAGAGAGAGAGGTTTGTTTTTCCACTTACTTATGCATTCATTGGTTCGATTCTTGTATGTGGCCTGACCAGGATGGAACCTGCAACCTTAGTGTTTTGGGATGATGCTCTAACCAACTGAACTACCTGGACAGGGCCAATCTGTCTTTTCTTATACTTGTGTTACAGTATTTTAATTATTGTAGCTTTCAGACACATTTACAATACATTAAGACTGTAAATTAGAGAATCATTGACATCTTTGTGCTATTAGATGTTTGTTCTAATCCTGGAATGGTCTACAAGACCCTGTATATGCCCTTACTGCAAGTGCATCTCTTCCCCATCCCCATCCGCTCCCAGGGCCAGGTCCGCTCCTGCCTTAGGGATTTCTTACATGCTGCTCCCTCTGCCTGAGACTCTCGTCCACTACACATGTGCACAGCTCACGCCTCCCATGGCAGGGTCTCTGCTCAAGTGTTCCCTTCTCAGTGAAGCTTCCTCTCATCACTCTATTTAAAATGCCAATCCACCACCCCACGTTGGCACCCCCTCGCCCTCTCCCAAGCACTTCTCACTCTTCAACAAACTCAGCGTTTTACTACTTTATTTGTTGCCTATCACACCCACTGGAATGTACACTCCATAACAGAAAATATTTTGTCTCTTATTTTCAGGTGAATCCTTATGGCTAAAATAGTGTCTGGTACACAGCAGGAGCTTAAAAATATTAGTAGACTGAATGAGCGCTGGTATGAAAAAAAAAGTGAATGCCTTTCTGGCTTTTTCTTCATGTGTTCTATGTCCCATAATAAATCTTGGATAAATCCTGCCCATGTGTTGACGCTAATGATTTTTGTCTTTGCTGTTGTGAGAGTAATTTCTCTTACTATATTTTCTCTTAAATGGTTGTTGCTAATACATAAAGACAACTTTTGAGAAGTATCTTTTTATTTTGCAACTGATCTTACTGTTTATCACACTACTTTTAATAGTTTCTTAGATGATTATCTTGGGTTTTTAGATAGACAGTTCTATAATCCACAAAGGTGATATACATTCTTTTTCCCTCATTGCATCAGCTAGAATATTAACAATAATATTTAACTATAAAAGATAATGGGCATTCTTGCCCTATCTCTAACTTAATGGTGATATCTCTGGTATTTAACAACAAAAAAAGTGTGGACTGTTGATTTGGAAATTTCTATGTCATACTGATAAAGTACCATCTAATTCCTGTTTTGCTCAGAGTGGTAAAAACTAGTAATTGATGCTGAATTTATCAAATGTCTTTTTTGGCATCTATCTCTATGATATTTTTAAACTTGTTTTTAAATAATAAATATAATGGGTGGCTTTGTGAATAAAGTGAAAAGTTTTAGTGATCTTTCTTTCCTCACCTCAGTATCAACCACTAGAAGTATCTACTTTTAATAATATCTTGGGGATTTTTCCAGAGTCCACTATGCACATACCAATTTATACATGTATAGTAAGTACATTTGGGTGTTTTTTCTAAATGAGATCATAGAGTACATATTGTTCTGTAATTTGTTTCTTGTCTCTTAAAATATTGGACATCTTTTTGTATTAGTAGATCTCTCTTATACTTTAGGTGGCTGCATATTATTTCTTTGTATGGTGATCATTTGGACAGTCCTTTATTAATGGATATTTGTGGTCATATTTTTACTTTTTAAAAAATAAATCTTGCTTCAGTGAATGCACTTTACATATATGTTTGTGCACTTGGACAAGTATTTCTAATGTATTTTTCACCCTATTATTAAGCTGAGTCCTCTGAAGGAAATCTTACATTCTCAGTTCCTAAGATAGGAAACACACAAATCCTGTTTTTTACATAATGTGTTTAAAATATTTCCCTGAAGTCCTGTTTTAACAATTAAAATTATAAGACAAGTACTAAGATAAATGATAAATGTTTTGCCTTGTATTATGAATATTAAATAAGTTTAATTAACCCTTAACCACTATTGAGCCATTATTTTCAAGCCTGAAGTAACATAAAGAAAGCAGAACTCCAACTTTTTTTTTTAACTAAAAAGCAGTGGAGTTCATGGATCTTTCATATGGTTAACAAAGTTTATTGTTAGCCAAAATGGGCACTTGGTTTTAGGATTAGCAATATTTTTATTCTTCAGCCACTTTGTCTATAAGTGTAGAAAATCCAGAATTAACTATTTTTTGCACATACCCTACTTTGTAGAAATCAACTTCAGTTTCTTCTGTGAAGGCAAAGAGGCAGAATGAGGGAGCAAACTCAAGGTTGCAAACATTTCTCATGTTTTAGGGAGGGATAGGAAAGACACTTTATTTAGAGACATCTTACCAACTGCACTTCCCATCAGGCAAAGAGCAGTAATTGTTCTTTGGTTCAGTAGTAGAGAAAGTCTACTTTGAATTGAATAAAAAAGAAGAAAAGTGATAGACATCTCAGTGGGCTGCTTTTAATTGGGTCAGGAAAAGTTTGTTTTTCTTCCAAGGCTATTTAAATTATCACGTCTCTCTCTATTGACTGTGGTGTCCTGCACAGGTCCTGAACTTCTGCTATGTGTCACCTGGCTTTACAATGTCAAATCAGGGGGATAGGATCCTTGCCTCCAAAGACTCCCCCACCTATGCATCACTTACCTGCTAATCCCTTTGTAAACTGTAGCATAAGAGCCTTCACCCAGCTTTTCCAAGTTCAAGTATGACGAGGCTGCCCCAAAAGGGAGGCTCTTCCTCTGCTTAAGAGGAACAGGTAGGGGTGAGAGGTTGGGAGAAAAAGAAAGAGGGCCTTTTAATTATTTGCCAGAGTGTACTTGGAAAGGTCTGCTTAGTAATTGCCCTGGAAACAGGGCCAGCCTTGCTAGACAAACACACATTAAATCCTTGTTGATCAGCATCAGCTGCTCACTCACCCACTGTAAGCCCTGCCTCAGATCTTCTTCCTGAAAAGAATCACTGTTACTTCGTGGCCTTTTACTCTTGAACTTCCGGGCACTGACAGCCTGAAGTCCCCTGGGGTGAAATGAAGTCATGGAACAAGATGCTTCTTTTAGGTCTGTTAGCTAGAGGGGAAAAAAAAAAAGAAAGTGCAGAAATAAAATTTATGCAAAGTCAAGACTTAGTGGCTGGCATAAACCATTTTTCCTTTTGTTGCCTTATTTTTATTTTCAAATGTTTTCTATGCTTCTGCACTCCCCAAAGTCACTTTTCCTGAAAGTAGATCACTTTAGAAAAAAATTTTAATGATATCAGTAGTTGAAACACTATATTCTTTCTTCACCTAAAAATATGTCTTTAAAACTTAGGTTAACCCAAATTTCTTTGATGGATAGCTTCCAACTTTTCTCTGTGTAACTCACACTTTTTCTTCATGCCCCCTTAATTTGTCATTTAGGGGAATAATTTTCTAGTTTGGCATTGCTAATAAACATGAACTAATTATTGAAAATGTGAATCCATGGCATGCAATACTGCAGCTTGCTTTTTAAGATTCAGCTTCGTAGTTAGTATTGGAGAGATTTCAAGAGAAAAACTACTTTCTCGACTTCAAGTCAATTGAGTTTCAGGCAGCCCAAAACATAGGATTATTATTCCCTTTTGGTTTACAAAAAAAGATGATAATCCCAAATTTGATAACAATAGCCATAAATTCTCTGTGACTTTAATAGCATTTTCTTTTTTATTGGTTTAGACCTACTGCAGAAAAATCAGACCCCGTTACAGAAAGGGAGCCTCCGAACTCCTCGGCATATGAATAGAGAAAGATGCTGCTCCTGGGATGCAAATACCTCGATCGCAGCCTCCATCGTCACAGGCGCACTCCTCTGACAGCTGTGCGCATCGCCTCCCTCCCAACAGCGATGGCAGCTGCATCCAGGCTGGAGAGTCTTTGCACACAGCTCTTGACCCATAATCTTCCAGGCTCAAGGAGAAAGCTCGCACTTGAGCCTCTCCCTCTCTGCCTCTCCTGTCCTCGTTCACTCCCTTTTTGCCAGAGGTCAGTAAGGCTAGAGCTTTCGTATGACTCACATGAGGGCTCTGCTGGAGCAGCCTCATGACTTCAGCAGTTTTTCCTTATCGGTACAAGAAAGCATACGTTGGAAAGTCGGCTGCCTGCACTCGTATGGACGGCTAGTACTGGCTAGAATGAAACTTGGCACGGTTTAGGTTCATATTCCAGCCACGAGTTAGTTCTATTTAGTTCAATTTACATTGCTTATTCATGTAAATAACAATGATGTTTATTAGGCTTCCTCTGTGCTAAAGTGGACACATTGAGAAGTATTTTCTCCCTGCGTTGCATGTGAGAGAATTTTGCTTTAAAATATATCTGCAACCTAGCCAACTCTTAATAGTCAGAGAAACCACAAAATAGGAAGAAAGCTGAAGATACCTACTCCATTGCTTCACCTTCCAGTGGTTGTGTATCTAATACTCCCAGAGGAGCTCACACATTCATTCATCACTTTAAAAACTAGCTAGTGAGCACCTGTGTTGTTCTTACCACACAGATACAGTTACCCAATGGTGGAGAAAGAAGAGTTTGCAAGAAATATCTCCATCTTTCCCTCTCTGCTTTCCTCTCCCTCTTCTTTCCTTTCACATAACTATAATTAATGTTTACCATGTTCATAGAATGTAATGTTGGGGATCTAGCTTACGCTACTTTGTAGTCTTTGAACAAAAACTGTTTACTCTCATAGACCCCTAAGGTTGGATATTGTTCCTATAATATACCAATTTGAGTGAGACAATGCAGGGTACACATGTGCAACCATTATCATGAAAGGAAAAAGTAAGTCATGTCTATTATCACAATCATATTTATGTATATTTGCTATAGGAACCTCACAATGGTTTTGAAAGCCTTTCAGATAATTTAATTGTGAGCATGTATTAAAGTCTTATTCCAAAATTTCTGCAAGAGAAAAGACCTAGAAGAGGACAATTCAAAGAGTCACTCAGATTAGAGAAATGTAGGGTTTTTTGTTAAAAAGTGAGTAAGTTACATTAATACAAAAAAGAATATGTGGCTAAAGACTATTAAACTTTTGATTGACAATCAACAGAGAGTGAGAAAAGCTAGCTTCTCAGAATATTTAATAATTCCATTGGAATTTATTATAACTAGATTATATTTTAACAAAAATACTGATTTCTTCCTAAAAGGATATTATGAATTTTTTTTAACATTTTTAATTGTTGTTCAAGTACAGTTTTCTGTCTTTTCCCCCTACCCCTCCCCAGGACCCCAGCCCTCCTCACCTCCCTCCTGTTTCCACACCCCTTGTTATTGTCTATGTGTCCTTTATAATTGTTCCTGCAAACCCTTAACCTTTTTCTCCTATAATCCCCTTCCCTCTCCCCTCTGGTCACTATAAGCCTTTTCTCAGTTTCAATGTCTTTGGTTATATTTTGCTTGCTTGTTCGTTTTGTTGATTAGGTTCCTGTTAAAGGTGAGATCATATGGTATTTGTCTTTCACTGCCTGGCCTATTTCATTTAGCATAATGCTCTCCAGTTCCATTCATGCTGTGGCAAAGGGTAGGAGCTCCTTCTTTCTTTCTGCTGCATAGAATTCCATCATGTAACTGTACCATACTTTTTTGATCCATTCATTTACTGATGGGCACTTAGGTTGCTTCCAGCACTTGGCTATTATAAATGGTGCTATGAACATTGAGGTGCACAGATTCTTTTGGATTGGTGTTTCAGGATTCTTAGGATATAATCTCAGCAGTGGAATAGCTGGGTCAAAAGGCAGTTCCATTTTTAGTTTTCTGAGGAAATTCCATACTGTTTTCTATAATGGTTGTACCAGTCTGCAATCCCACCAACAGTGCACTAGGTTCCCTTTTCTCCACATCCTCTCCAACACTTGTTGTTTGTTGCTTTGTTTATGATGATCATTCTGACTGGTGTGAAGTGCTATCTTATTGTGGTTTTAATTTGCATCTCTTGATGGCTAGTGATACTGAGCATCTTTTCATGTGTCTCTGGACCCTCTGTATGTCCTCCTTGGAGAAGTGTCTGTACACGTCCTTTCCATTTTTTAATTGGGTGGCTTGTCTTCTTAGAGTGGAGTCATGTGAGTTCTTTATATATTTTAGAGATCAAAGCCTTGTCTGAGCTATCATTGGCAAATATGTTTTTCCATACAGTTGGTTCTCTTTTAATTTTAATGCTGATTTTTTAGCCATGCAGAAGCTTTTTATTTTGATGATGTTGCATAAGCTTTTGTTTGAGGTTCTGTTTCCAGGAAATCTGTGTTAAGACAAATTGCTTTTTTAAATTAGTAGTAAAATTAATAATTTATTGATAATTTCAGGTTAGCTACTCCCATCCTACATTTTTAGAGTCTTTTTTCCTTTTTTAATTGGGGTGTATTCAAACTACAATGTTTAGTTGAAAGTCTGCACTTTTCCAATCTTTGCATTCCTGCCTTTATTTAATGTAGCCAGATTATTAGAAATTATGGTCTAACTATAACCTTTCTAAAATATGTAGGTTTTCACAAGCACTCAACAGGTAATAACATGAGAGGTAATGTGAAGTTTGTGTCAGAAACTTTAAAAATAATCCATGTACATCCACACAAGAGCATATAGCCATAAAAAAGGAAGATGTAAAAAAAGTGACTTGCAGTGATTGATAATCAAAATGTACTGTTAAGTGAAAAAAGCAAAATCCTTTTGTACGTTATGTTTTGTGGCAAGGAAATGAGGGAAAATAAAGTGTAGTCAGTAGTTTTACTAATAGTAGCAATATTACTGTTATTATTTTAAAACTCTTATTGGTATATTTTAGGATTAACTAAGTATGTTAATGTCATTAAAACTAAACTTCTCAGCATAAGAGAAAATAGACATAAATATCAAATCAAAGAAATCAAGTAAAAAGTATTTGATTTTAAATTTGATTTGGAAATGTTGGATAAACTTTTTTTTTCCTTTAAAAAAGATCTGGAAACAATGACAATTCAATAGCAGTGAGCAATGCCAATGCCCATTTGTGGTCTCTAAATACTATGTTTTATTAAAAATAACCAAGCGCCTATGGAGAAATAGTGTCTGAAAGTCTAGAACATGAAATCTCTGAAGTTATCAAGAAAGACATCTCTGGCTCATCCTAAGTCAGTGGGAGTCCTGTCAAAGTAACACAGGAGCCAACTTGAAGAGACTCCCATTTTGCTTAAGATGGGACAATTCAAATATGAAAAATAATGACTGTCAAGTATTGAACACACAAAATATGTGAAATCCATAACTATGGTGATTATAAATAAAAATGGTTGCTTAGAGGTTTCTAATGCAGCAATTCAATGCCTGTGAATATTGATAGAGGGGGAAAATCATGTATTTATTTAGTCTTTTTTATACAGATTGTTTTTCTGGGACTATTAAATAGTTAATGAGGAGAAAATTCTTCCTCACAGAAGATTTTCAGTGCTCGCTTCGGCAGCACATACACTAAAATTGGAACGATACAGAGAAGATTAGCATGGCCCCTGTGCAAGGATGACACGCAAATTCGTGAAGCGTTCCATATTTTTAATTAGACAAGAAACTGTACTTGAAAAATAACTAAATAAAAAAATAAAAATAAAAAAGAGAAGATTTTCAGCTAGTAAAGGCAAAAGAAATGATAGAAGCAGAAATTCACTACTATGCAATCCCTAGGGCAATAATAAACCCAAGGAACGATCATCAATGGATGCTACAATAAAATCATTAGGTGAAAGATTGATAGGGAACTTTGCAATGAAGGGTCAAGTGCACACCATCTGTGTCCACCAATCAATCTTAGCTCCACTAAATCTTGGACATTGAGAAATGATGTGCCTCCTGATGTGGTACAACAGAAAGAACACATTGCCACAGTGATGTATTTTTGACTGAAGAAAAAATATTTAATCTGAATCTAATCAAGTATGTAGGTCTCAAACCAAATTACAATAAATACAGAGGACAGAGGAATTAAATAATACTGCAAGGAAAGAAACAGCCAAATCAGAAAGGATGAATAATCTGATTTCTCAAATCAATGGCATAAAAAAAAGAAGATAATTCAGAAGCCTTAAGAGATGCAACAAATACAACATGTAGACCTTGTTCGAATCCTGATTTGAACAAGTTAACTGTAAAAAAACACCTTCCCCCCAGCTTTAAGGAACTATCATAGAAAATAAAAATTGTATATACTTAAGATATACGAGATGACATTTTGATACATGTATTCATTGCAAAATGTTTACCACAATCAAGCTAATTAACATACCTATCCCTTCACACAGTCAACTTTGTGTGTGTGTGAGAACAGTCAGGATCAGTTCTTTTCCTACCACGTATGCATCACAGCATTGCTAACTGTGGTAACCTGGCCTGTACATCAGTCTCCAGCAGGTATTTAGCAGGAGCATCTGAACTCATACATGCACACCTTTGCCAGTGCTTCCCCACTTCCGCAACTCACCAGCTTCTGGGAACCACTGCAAAACAACAGTTCTGAGACCAGTATGAAAATTATTTATGGTATTAGATGATCTTAAGAATTTATTTTTTTGAAATGATAATATTTTAGATGTGCTGGGTTAAATAAAAGATGTTATTAAAATAAAAAAAGAATTTCTTTTTAATTTTACATGGTGATTGTTTGAAAACAATCTTACAGTTAAAGATGCATACTAAAGTATTTATAGGTAGAATGACATAACTAACTTAGTTAAAAATATTCCAGAAAAATAATGTTGGAGGGGAAAAAACAAAATTGGTAAAATGATGATTGTTTAAGCTAAGTGATGGCTTAACGCAGATTCACTTTGGTGTGTATAAGAATTTTCTAAATGAGAAAGTAGAATAAAACAATATCCTTAAAAACACATTCATATGAAATCCGTACATTTCGATTATTTA